GGGGGGGTCGGGGGCGCGACACGGGACTCAGAAGAGATGGAGAAGCTGGCTGCTGTCTACCTTTAAGGAGAGCCCACAGGCAGAGTCGTTCGCTTCCATCAGGGCACACATTGTAAGGGTGCCAGCGATGCAGGCGATAGGTTTTGCGAGTGTGAGGACCTACATGATTTCCTCCTGTTTGATACATGCGAATTATCCCACTTCCCTCTCTCCACACGGAAGTTTACAGGAACTTCAACTTCTGTCACAGCTACTGTGTCAAGCTTGATGATCCCCATAACTGTGTGAATTTTCTGCTTCTGGCTTATCACATGACTTTTGTTATAATTCACCTGAACTTCTTTATGAAAAATGTTGGAGGTATAAGTAAATATAACGAACATAACATATAGGTTTGAATCTCATTTTTGGGCATGATAATATAAGCCTAAATAACAAATCTGGAGACTGCTTTCTTATTTTCAGAATATGGTTTGGAGTTGGGAGCAAAGATTTAAATTAGCATGATTTGAAAAAACACACATCTGAATAATGAAAGAAAACACAAATTGCAACAATATTTGTACCGTTTTTATTTGTAAAAATAACCATCTGAATGCATGTCCATAGTATATTACAGGTAAGTACTTCATTCCATTATTAAAGCATTCAGTAGTTGCAAAGTACTAAACTGTGCTTGGAGAGAGTCAGACTGGTTCAAAGTCCTTCACTGAACTGAAAGCCATTTTCCTCATTTTTACACTCATGACATTTACCAAAGTCATTCAACTCCAATTTACATTTTAAACATACAGACAAAAATCCCACTAAAATCATCACATAATAGTTTATGTTGTTACAAATATGTCATACAAAATATAACACTGGCACAAGATGTGTATCATCGTGCTTTGCAAGGATATATTGCACATGCTAAAGCGTAGTCTGTAGACAAAACTACCAAACAAGGGATACTTGCATTGAATCCCCAGATCACTGCATAGGAAACACACAAAATTACATTTTACACACACGCTCAGATTGTCACTATCTTAAAACGCTGTTCCTCTATAATACTGACCTATGGTTTACAGTTCTGTAAGAAGAAAGCATTTTTAGCACTGCAAAGCCAAACATAATTCCTATAGAAAACTTAAGCATTTTCATTTCAAAGCAGAGAAGGGGGGAAACCGGAAAGGAGACACTTGGTACATTCAAAGAAAGGAAAACTCACTAGGATTGTATTGCTCCAATAACACTCAAATGAAAAAATACAAAACGTTTCACGGACCATTTCCAGGATATACAAATATGAAAGGCACTCTAACGTCATGTCACAAGACCACAAAGGGATGAGTTCCTCAACCAGCGCTATGGATGCGCCAACCAAGGCGCTCGCTCGCACGCACGCACACATGAGCGTAACTAGTGCGGCAAATCTATCGGTGTGCTTGTTCTAGAGAGACGTACAGTCACGCGGCCGCTGACTGCCCAAAGTACCAAAACATACTCTGGTGCCCTTTTAGTAGTGATGAATAGAAATCCCCTGAGCTATTATTTACTAGGACTTTAGGCAATTTGGAGATAGTAATGAATTTACCAGAGTTGAGCAGACACCAGTGAATAGGTAAGTGCAATCAAACATGGTCCTTGTGGCTGTGGTTAACATACACTCTAAAAACCATGCACTTAGGTAAAAGCATTGAGCAACTCAGACTCTATTAAAAAAAAACAAAACATTTTTCTCAGGAAGCAATGTTGCAAACATTTATGAGACAACTGAAAAACATAGAAGTTATAGTTTTTAAAAGTTATTTCTTTAAAAAAGATTGGTCTTACTGGGTTGTGGGGGGCTGGGAACAGAGCCAGAGGAGGAGAGAAAGACAGACAGACCAACCAACTCAGAAGAATGGCTCTTTGTAAGCTTGATTTCATTGTGTTCCTCTGTCGTCCCTCTCTCAGAAAGAGCCAGGGAAGGCCAACACAGCTCCATGGCTCCGGCTAGGACAGTGCTTTGCTGAAGTGATCCCCTTGCTCTCGGTTGTGACACTACCAGAGCAGGCATTTCGTTTCCTGCTTTAAACGCCAACAGCAAGACTTCCACTCACTTCTAGAACAGGACAGCACAGTACATCACACTTCTTCAACATGAGAGCTCCCTTAATCTGCAGGGTTCCCTAAAGATAAGGTCACTGCTGCTCATTAGCAGTCTGTCTACTTGTTAAAATCACACCGGCTCTAAACAAAAGGAACAGATGGAGGGATACATCACACCTTCACTCCAAGAACGTAAAAAAAAAAAAAAATGTTGCTGGTGTAAGATTTGTTTGATAAAATCAATACCAGTTCTATAAAAACCTCCAAACAAGTTGTCATATGTGAAGAAACAACGTGACTTTTAACTGAATCCAGGATAGTAAATGAGTAAGGGTAAAGTCTCCAAGCTTGACAAAAAACAATAGCATACACTGTCCAGATGTGCTGCAGCACTGTTTTTAAAACTCTCAAAATACTATAAAACAGAAAAATCGAGGGAGAAGACAGAACCTACTGGAAAGCACTGGAAAGCTGGGCCCTAGTGCTCCAGATTGCTTTTCTGACTCCTCTGCACGTGGAGCACAGCACGTGGGCCTCTGCCTGTGTGTCTGGTTTCGGTTCCCTGTCTTGGCACGGTGTCCACACTTGGCAGAGTTCCCATGAAGTGCCAGGACCATGTGACATTTTTGGTGTTGTTTCTGTAGCCTCTGGGTCTTTCTTTGGGCTACCTTTGTGTATATGACCTGCGACATCAGTTTTCATCTCACAGGAGGGTTCTCCGTGGCTACGGCATGGGGCAAGCAGGGAGCAAACCTGAGGGGGAGCTGGTGGTGAGCTGGTGGTGAGCTGGTGGTGGTCAGTGGGAAACGCTGGGCTTACCCCAGAGCTACTGGCCAGCCTGGAGTCGGTCGAGGGTATTTCCCACTTAGTTTATTATTCTAAGTAAGGTACATAGCAATGAGAGAGAGAGAGAGAGAGAGAGAGAGAGAGAGAGAGAGAGAGAGAGAGAGAGCGCCTAAACAGTGGATATTTCCTCAGCATTTGTTTCATTTCAAATAAATATAAACACATTTACATCAAAGTATACAGACATCTTCTCTAGTTTGAAAACAACATAAAAACCAAAACCTGTGGTCAACACATCATCATCAGTTACAAATGTCAAGCCAGCAACTAGAAATCTGTGCCGTTAGAAATATAAACTACAATAAAGACTGGTATGCAAAAAAAAAAAAAAAAAAAGTTACATTTTTAACCCCATAGAAAAGCTACTGCGGTCCTCACTTGCATTTAGAAAGAAAAAAGTTCAAAATCTCCCATTTTAGGCAGAAGCGTTTTGGTCCTCATGGGTAGCTGGTGGATGGAGTGCATACATAAATATACACACGTGTGCGTGTATATATGCGTGTTTCTTAAAGTCTCATTCTTCCTTTTGTACAGCTGTTCCAGGTGAAGCGCGGGGTCCGTTTGACCTAGAGGCTTTGGCAGAGGGAACAGACACAGTATTCACCACGCTGATTTCATGACCCACAACGGGCAATTGGCTTGCGCTTCCACATCAACCGTTTCTGCGTTCCCTTCCTCCGTTCCCTTCTACAGGAGTACTGTCCCTCCTCTGCCAGGACCTTGACCGAGCAGTTATTTTCCTAATCTACCACTGAAGGGCAGTGCCAGCCCTGACACCCTTACAGAAGTCAGTGTTTTCATTGAAGGGCAAACCCACTAAACGGCAGTTTCCTACTTGACTTGCATATTGTTTCAAGTTTTGGCACAATTTAATTTCACCTGAAATGCTATTGCATAAATTTGGGATCCATTACTCCATTGAAAAATCACTCACCGATTTCTTAAGGAGAGTCCTGGGTGCTACTTTGTGTTTAACGAGAAAGCATGGTCAAGGTTCACATTCATCTGGCAACTTTAGCCAAGATCTTGGGAGGAAGTTGTGGGCAGTTACATGCTTCCTATGAGGCGGCGGCGGGGTCAGGTGGACTCCCTTAAGAGGGTGATTATAGGCATTACAGCTGAAGGTGAACTTTGACCTTTGGCTTCTAGTGAGGAAGTAAACACCAGGGTGAGAAGAGGGTGCAGGCATTTCCTATCCGCTCTTGATAGACCTCACAGAACTCACTGGTGAGTACGTGAAAAAGGAAATCTTTAGACTGAACATTTGTCTCTCTGTTGCATTATCCCCGAAGACAAAGAATTAAACACTTAGAAATTTTCCTTACTTAAAATCAGAGGTAGGCTTTCACAGAAGTACCTTACACCTAAAGAAAATAGGGAACAAGACCCAACCCAGGCAGGCCTCTCTGCGAGTGCTCCAGCCTCCAGCCTAGCTGCCCTCTTTTGGTTAGACGATTCCCTCTCTACAGGTTTCTGGAAGCTTGGCCTCAAGTACTCGAATACAGCATAACTCTGGAATTCAAGCTTCCGCCCCTTTCTGCAACACAGGTCATGGAGGAAATGCCTTTTACAGTCCCAAGTCAGAACGTTTCCGAATCAGAATCGTTTTCGTTGTACCCGTCCTCAGAGCCCAAGTTGTTACTGCACAGACTGACTCTGCGACCCAGACTGGAGGGGAGGGTCGTCCTGCTCAAATTGTCTTTTCTAAAACAAACCAGGTTGACAGCCGTCATTGTGCTGGGAGGAGAAAAAGGCATCATGGTAGCCAGAATGAGGGCCAGGCAGTCAGCCACGTCTTTGTTAGGAGCGCAAGCCAGGGCCGGGGTATGACCTGGGCGTAAATGCAGACAAGGTGGTGGTTAGTCCCGGGGGTCCGGAGCTGCACAGCATCCCACAGTGCATCTCCCACAACCTCGCGAGAGGAGATGCATGCTGAGTTAGCATTCATGCCGGGTAAGAGGAGTTACGGCTCGCAAGTCATGCCGCTGTGAGATTGGAGTGGGGCTGGGGGTGGGGTGGGGGGGAGGGGGTGGGGCGACATTTCATGGAGGTTCTGGTTTTGGTGTGGGGTCACGTGTCTACAGAAAGCACAGTATTATCCCGAGTTAGCAGATTCCAGCCTTCGTCTAGAGAACAGGAATGTGTGGCGAGGAACTTGGGGACACAAGCCACAACCACTAGCAATAGGACATCCCGGGGGAGTGCCCACGGGCAGCAGACGCACACCACGAGCCGCAGACCTGGCAGAGGAGTGGAGTCCCTTTCCAGGACAAGTGTGTGTCACGCGGGAAGGGAAAAACCAAGGGCTGGTGTCCCTTTATATAAACTTCACAGAAAGCACACACCAGCTTACTATTATAAAACCATTTGAAGAGGTCAGTAATTAATACTCTCGTGACCACTTAAGAGAATTTTAACACACCTGTAAAAAAAAAAAAAAAGTCGCCTCGCCAGCTAACGTCACAAATCTGAACTATCAGGAATGTGGGACAAATCAAGGTTTGCCACAATTAAGTGGGGTGACTATCATTCAGACTCGGGGCTCCAGAAACTCATTAGAAAACTGGACCTCCACACACCTTGAAGGAGTGCATCGCTCTTCGGATATACTTGCTATCATTATCACACTTTTATTCTGTTGGCCCAAGATCCCCTCCCACAGTGAGCAGTGAGCTTGCTCCGTCCATCAGAGGAACTGTCCCGGCAAAAGTCACTAGACCTGGGGCCCTCATCTTATTCATCTTTACAAAGTGAAAACGATGAACAGGGCCAGGTGTCCTAACATTCCATTCCTGGAACAGCAGTGATGAGTGAAGGAATTATTAGCGCAGTGTGGTATAAAGTGGTCTCCGGATGTTCCCAGCCACTGGGCACAGCTAGACTCTGAGGAAGGCAGGCTGACTCACACAGCGCCTCTGGATCCATAGATCCAGCCCGAATACGCCTAAGGGCATGCCAACACCCGTTTATTCTAGTACCGCATTTTGGAGAACACTGGGCTTCTTTGTGCTAAGCTTAAGGTATGTAGTGCTGCTAAAGATGAGGGAAGTAAGCTGGGAAAGCTCAGGCTGTGGATGAAAAGAACTCTCTGTACTTCCTAGACGAGCCGGGTTGGGGAGAGAGCAGGGCACACGCTACGAGACACGGGGCTGCGGAAACAGAACTGAAGCGTCAGCCAAGATGTCAGCATGGCTGCTGACTTCTGAGAACTAGGCATGAGCTGCTAAGTCCAATACCTGGACTAAGCAGCTCACTGAGTAGCATTAATACATCCGAATACTTTACTGGGATGTCACATTGCAAAAAATTACTAAATTCACAGACACCCAGAAGTTCCTCTTCTGCTTCCCAAGGTTAAGAGGGATTGTGCATACAATGGCCGCTTATTAGGATTCTGGTCTCCATTAGTTTTTGTAATGCAGCAAGCTTTGGACAAGCATAAGCTCATTTAGGGAAAGCAAGTCATACAGGACAGGAGAAACTTCCGGCCTAGACCTCAGTAAGCATTCCATTCACGTTTCTCTACTTTCTACACGAGAGATGTGAGTCCTGATTTGTACTTTACAAAAACATTTGATCTAGGAATGAACCAAAAATGCAAATATGTTTCCACTGAGCCCTGGAACATTACCACTAATGACATGTGTCTCGCATTCCTTGGTGCATGCAGTTGGAATTCCCAAGGCCAAGCTAAAAGGCCTTTGGCATGCCTGAAATTATTTGAATAAAAATGTGTTCAGCTGGTAATGTCACACTCCACACGGACAGTGATGGTGGGCCGCGGGTAGACAACTGTTGTACAGAAAGACAGAAAGGACAAATTTCCTAGGTTTGATTTCTTACACCTAAGACACTTCCACGGGGAAGAAACTGCTTCCTGGCCCTGACGCAGCTCCTAACTTTCTCACTGTGCTCTGGCTTCAACCAGCACAACCTGGGGCGACTGTTAATGTTTCATACTTACCATTCTCATCGACAGCAAGTACAGAGGCTCCTTTGGCCAGCAACTCCTCAACTACCACCTTTAGGCCATTCCGGGCAGCGATATGGAGGGGCCTGAAAGACGACACCGAGCATCAGTCGAGATGCATGTTTGTGTGAGTGGGTATAGCTGGGATCTTCCAAAGGCTGTGTGCTAAAGGCTTTAGTGGAGGTAGGAGAGGGTGGATCCTGTAAGAGGGGGGCCCACTGAGAATTTCCAGGGCACTGGAGCACGTCTTTGAAGGCATGCCGGCCCTTCTCACTTTCTCTTTGTCCTACGAGTGAATAGCTATGTGTTCCCTGACAAGATATGCTGCCGTGTGCAAAGTAAAGGGGCCAACCAATCATAGGCTGAAACATGCAAGACTGTGAGCCAAACAAGCCCTTTGTCTTTATGATTCTTTCAGGTATTTGATATAAAGGAAAACTAATTAACAGCAAAAAAAAAAAATGTGGCGTTTTGATTAACTTATGTCACTAAAAGGAAGATGTACTTAAGAATCTACAAACGGTACAGGGTTGTTTTTGCTTTTGAAAAAAAGCAATGTTAACCGTATCTTTTTCAGGTATTATGGATCCAGCTATTCTCATGTGTTTGGCCCAGATCTCTCTGCAAGTGTTATAAACAGTCTACATCTTAAACAGTCTTGGTGACAGGACAGAGCAGGCCGGAAGAGTTCAAGCTCTGCTGTGCTTTGAGGAAGGCTGGCTAATCTGAGTCCCTGCTTCATACAGTTCATTGAGATGAGTGGCATTAATCTACACTATCACATCCTTTCATTAGTGCGTGTTCATAGCTGTCTCACTGGGTTACAGTACCTTATAAAAGAGTGTCACCATCAGCATATTGTGCTGTGTCCTTTAACAATCTTAAATTAAAAAAAAAAAACCCTAATATTCTTTGCCTTTAACACAAATGCATAAGTAATTTCCCAAAATGGAAAACGAAGCAGTTTTCCAGATCCCTCACACTGAGGGTTACACTGAATTATATTAAAATATAATCACGACAAATAGCTTAGACGCTGTTCAAATGTATTCTGGGAACCTGATTTATAAACCTCATGTTTTCCAGCCAGACTACATAATGCTAATACATAATACAAACAGTTTCCCCAAATATGTCAGCTCATAGGCCCAGAAGATTTCTCTAAAAGCTCACTAAATTTATAATGAAGCACAGAAACGTCTGTAAGGAGAACAAAGAACTTACAAATCCTGAGAGCTGTATCAAAATAAGGGCTCTACCTAAGAGCAGGTATGCCTAGTCAACATTGCAGATGTGCATACATAAACTTCACGAAGAGTCAGCACCGCTCACAGCGCTGCTTCTCAGAGCTAAACTAGTTCAGAGCAGGCTCTGAATGTGTGATCAATAAACACTATGACTCTGGCCTTGCCTTTATCAGCCCTCCCCGACAGGCCAAGGCTCAGGGAACAGCTCAGAGAAGATGGTGGAAATGGAGAAGCCGGGAGATGGGGAGCAGAGCTGGGACATGCTGTCTTTTGGACACAGCACAGCCATTGCACTTGCGAACTCACAGTAACTGTGCTTTTCTGCATAAGATTTGTACAAGATCAATCCAGGCAAAATCCCAACCTACATGGGAGAGATGATGCTCTCTAGGCCCCGGCCCTTACTGAGGAGCTATTTGCAGTGGGTAGCTAGGGATGCAGGGGGAGAGTCAGTCATTCTCTTTGGCAGATGTAGCCACCGGTAGGTTTCCCATGCTCCATTGGATAGTCCACATCGACACACACAAACTGGACCTAATGGGTTAATTGGGGAGGGAAAGGCATGCAGTTGGGAAGGTAACATGCTGAAGGGATCTGGGTCGGTTGGAGGAGGAAAAGGGTGGTGGAGATGACCACATTTCATTGTATACATGTAAGAAGCTCCCAAAGAATAAATAAAAATAAGGCCCGTGACTCTGGGCTCAAGTCAAGCTACAGCTGTCTACTCACGTCTGCAGTGCGCTGTTTTTCGCGTTAATGAGGCTCTCGTCTTGTATCTTGTCAAGTATTAACAAGGCACATTTCTCATGGCCCTAATAAGGAAAAAAGCAAGACATATGAGGCAGAGATACGGCAAAGTTCCCGAATGTTTACTTGATCGTACTTTCCGCTGAGTCCCGGCTTCCTCTGCTTGAACACATTCAAGACTATTTTCTGAGCCGTTCCTTTTCTAAAAAGCAAATGGGCCCAAGACACTCTTAAGCTTCTACATGGGGCCTGTTAGGACTTGTTTAACATGTTACTGACTTAAAATATTCATATTTAATATTAATATTTCCAAGGTCATTTTTAAAATTAATGTCCAGAGAGTGGAAGCCGATGCTAGCGTAGCAGGTCAGCGAGTGTCGGAGTGCAGCATCAGCAATACCCTTTAAATCCTGCAGTACTGCTTTTGATGCATACATCAGGTTCTTCCTTCTTCAAACCTTCAATTACCACTGCAGTGATCCATCTCCAGAGTTCCCATGACAGCCCAGATCTGTGTCACTTATCTTCATTTCATTTGATGCTCCAAGGAAGCCCTGTTTCTGAGTGTGGTTTTTTTCCCCCCCTCAACCTAAAATACAGATATCTCTGGATTTTATGACAATAGATGCTTGATAATTAAAATATCCATTATTAGGTCTAGGGTCATGGATGACTACATTTTTGCTAATTAAGGGCATAGACCAGCATCATTAGTATCATCTGAGAGTTAGAAATGTTGACTCTCCCTGGCACACAGAGACAGTAAAAAAATCCTGTCTAAAACAAAAAAGAAAAAGAAAATGTTAGGCTAACTTAGACCTAATAAAAAACATGCATTTTTTGTTTTCTGAGATAGGGTCTGGCTATGGAGTCCAGGCTGGCTTTGAACCCTTGATTCTCCCACCTCAGTGTCTAGAGTGCTGGGGTCAGAGGCATGGACTGCTATGCCTGGCCAGAATCTATGTTTTAATGACATTCTCAAGTGATTTCTTCATATGAGGGTGTCTGAAAATCACAGTAGTTCCCATCACTAACACACTGTGCTTTGACATAAACTTCCAGATCCTGAGCACGTCTGTTCTTTCCATGTTCTTCCCAGAGCACGGATATAAAAATATAACCAGTGAGAGGAATAGTTGAGACTTGGGACACCGCTGGAGTCACCTGGCACTATAACACAATGCAGCTTGTAACAGTCACACATACAGACATTTGTATGTGTCTTTTATGAAAGACAAAAATCTACCATATACTCTGCATTGACGTGCACATGAGAAAACAGTGACAAGGTACACGGATATTGCTTCACAGTGGTATGATCTGGGGCTGTGTTCTCACAGTGTCTTCAAACAGAACTCAATGGAAACTGCTTAGAGTTTCTAAGCCTCGTAACTAATGTCTTACCCTGTTGTGTGGTGCCAAAATATGGTACCATAGCCAGGGAAACAGATCCAGTGACAGAATCGAGATAGGTGGACTGCAGTGGGATTGCAAGTAGCAAATGCATCGGACCCGTCCTCATCCTTCACTCTGATGAGTGACAGGTATATCCACCCACCCAGAATTCTGCCCCTTCCTTCTCCCACTCCATTTCCATGTACAGTTGACAGTGTCCTGGGAAATGGTCATTAAATGAAAAACCATGCTACTTAGGACCCAGGAGGACCGAGATCCTGTGGTATTATTACTGCGATGGCAACAGTAAGCAGCAATGTTTTAAACTCGTTACATACTTTACTGATAGCCAGATGCAAGGGAGTATTCAAGTCCTTATCCTTCACAGTCAGGTCAGCCTGGGCACTGTTCACCAAAATATCTATAGACAAAACCAAGAGAGAGTAACTTAGACCGGGTGCCAGACACGTGTTTCATTGTGGCCACAAAACAACACTAGCATTAGTACAGCCCACACTCATATTTAATGGTTGCAAAGAAGGAACAGTTTGATGCCATATTTGTTTCATTCCAACGGGAGCTGGTTGGGCACAGTTCCCCAGAGTTTCACCATTCCTCCACTCCTCAGCTTTTGGGCTAAATCCAAGTACAGTGTCAGTATTTCCAGTCAAGACGACTCTGCTAGTACGTTTTATTTCTAAATGTTGAGACAGTTCACTCGAGGACTAGTTTACTTTGCTGCCATCTTCCAATGACACAGTCGCAAAGAGCTGAAGATGACTGAGCATGGAGGCAACTCCAGTAAACCTGGGTGGCCCCTTCGAGGTGTCCACGCTAGCATGGCACTGGCGTCTCTCTCTGACAGTATTTCCGGTCCACAGCCTTAGTACGTACCCACCGCGCCTGCCTGCCCGTTTTCGGCAGCCATCATCAGTGCTGTCTTCCCTGAATTGTCCGCGGCGTTCACTTGGGCATCGTGTCTCAGAAGCAGCTGCAAGCACTCCGCGTGGTCACCGAAGGCTGCTGCGTGGAGCGTCGTCCTGAAGGTTTCAAACATGCACGCATTGATCGCCTTTAAACTTGGCAGCAACTATCAAAAGACACGCTTTCTAAAGACGCAAAGCTTCTGGGTTGATGGAAATGATGGCCAAATCCTGTCTTAGACCCATGCGAGGTGGCCCTGAAGTGTCACCTATATGAACGGTGCCCCTGAGATTTGGGGGGATGGGGAGGTCATGCATGCAATGACTCCGATAAGGAAATCAGCACCATTCTGACCTTCTAATCTTGAGTTCTAGTGAGATCTCACTTGTCTGGGAGACAGACACTTTTAACATTAAGGGATAGTTTGTAGGTAATTGGTTGGTTTGCTAAAAACCTTATAAGCCTACATAATCTAATGCAGATTATGGTGGGGTGACTGGGGAGGTGAGCTTGCCATTACTATTCATCAAAATGGAAAAGGCATTAGCCTTAATGAAGTAACTCCACTCAAGGACTCCATTTCCTTCATATATTCAGCCATGTAAACAGATTCACACCCAAGTATTCACTGTGCTACTTCTTAGAAATGGAATATTGAAAGCAACATGAATACTCTTCAAAAGAAGTCAGGCTAAGCAACATGCTATGTATTCATTTAATGAAATAACACACAGCTTTAAAAAATAAGATAAGATCTCTAGGACAGCCGGGCGGTGGTGGCGCACGCCTTTAATCCCAGCACTCGGGAGGCAGAGCCAGGTGGATCTCTGTGAGTTCGAGGCCAGCCTGGGCTACCAAGTGAGTTCCAGGAAAGGCGCAAAGCTACACAGAGAAACCCTGTCTCGAAAAACAAACAAACAAACAAACAAACAAACAAACAAAAAAAAGATCTCTAGGACATAAAAACATACTACGTATTACTTTCTCAATTAAAATTTTTCCCGCTTTGGCCAAGCATCATCCATGTCTGTGATTCTAGCACTCAGCAGGGCAGAGTCAGGAAGAGTATGAGTTTGAGGCTAGCCTGGGCTTCATAGCTAGTTCAAGGCCAGCCTGAGCTACACAGCAAGACTCTATGGGTTGGAGCTGGAGCTTGGTCTAAGCTTGTCTAAGGTCCTGGATTCAGTTCTAAGCACTGCCCAAAATAGGCGTATATAAAAATAAAAGCAAATGGCTTACTATTCTACAACCCAAAACAAAGACCAAGACTTGAGACCAAAAGCATGACACCTCTGTATCACTCACCGGCCTTTGTCATCCCTACAACTGACGATGCTGGAATCTATGGCCCCCAGCAGCAATGATGCACAGTTCTCATGACCATTTATTCTAAAACGAAAATGGATTTTAGTGTAAAAACAGACAAAACTTAAAATATATATTCCTTCACACCGTATCATTATATGCACTGTGTATTTAACAATTTGATATATTTTTAGAAATCAGATGCTAATATTTATGGCATGCTACAGTAGTATACATTGAAACTTCCTGCTCTCCCATTAAGGCCCTCTGTGTTTGTGAGATCGTCTGGAGCACCATTCAAACAAGCTCCCACGTAGGTGATGTCGAGACACCAAAGTGGGAAAGCAGATCCTTCACACGTGAATCCGCCCTGATTAGTATTTTTAAGATTTGTCCATTTGGGGCTGGAGAGATGGCTCAGCAGTTAAGAGCACTGACTGCTCTTCCAGAGGTCCAATTCCCAGCATCCACATGGTGGCTCACAACTGTCTGTAACTCTAATTCCAGAGGACATGACACCCTCACACAGGCATACACGCAGGCAAAACACCATGCACATAAAATAAAATAATAAATTTTAAAGAAGATTTGTCCATTTTTACTTTATGTGTACCAGTTTTTTTCCTGCATGTAAGGATGTATGTGCACTGCATGTGTACCTCGCGCCCAGGGATGCTCAAAGAGGGCACTGGATCCCATAAAACTGGTATGGATGGCTGTTAGCCACCATGTGGGTGCTGGGAACCAAGTCTGGGTCCTCTGCAAGCAAGTACTCTTAATTACTTAGCCATCTCTCCAGCGCCCCTAACCACCTTGATTCTTTCTCAGCTACCCTTTCTTTACTGATTTGATTTCATGCCTCTAGTATCTCTCCTGTCAAATGACCCAGCGTCAAGGGAAGCCCAGAGACAGTGTAAACACAAAGCTCTTTCAAGTCTTGTACCCCAGGCTGATTCATGGAACTCGACTTAGGGTCTCTGCATTCTATGAATAACATTTCTCTCTATAAATCTGCGATAACAATTACATGTAAAAAGAAGGAGAATGAGGAGAAGAAAGAGAAGGAGGAGGAAGAGGAGGAGGAGGAGGAGGGAGGAGGAGAAGAAAGGATGAAGATGAGGAATTATATGAAAAGTCTTCCTGGCAGAAAATTTCTTACTAACTACAGGTATATTGGTATTAACGTTGACTTATTTTTCAGAGTTTGCCAGGCAATGGGGAGAACCACTAAAGATTTCTTCCCATCTATGGACCGAGCCTCTCAGGCTACCACCATGGGATACATGAGTCACCTTGGAACTGTAGCTTCTGGAAAATCATTAACACGACAGCCCATGGATTGCCAGCAGACCTATTTGTCTTTAGCAGCAGAGGAGACAATTTGAGTCTTATCTGCACTCTAAGTGCTTTCTTCCATTCACAAAAGGCACGTTTTCTACGTGCAGCTAAAGGAACAGAAGAAGCACCATGACATTTCCAACCTTTCTACTTACATCGCACAGTGCAGTGGCGTGAAGGGATTGCCGATAAATTTCCGGAAACATTTTTGCTCCAGAAGTACCTCTATGCAGTTTTCATTGCCTGCAAAGAATAAACAGATTCAGAGAGCTCCCCAGACACAAACTCGGTTCAACATGGTCTGGTGTTTTTTAATTCCCCATTAAGTGTTAGGTTCTAGCATATGAATTTCCCTGAATTGGCTGAATGCTCGCTCTCCGTGGAATAAAATTAACAAAACACTATAATGCTATTAACTACGCTCACAGGTGTTCTGAGATATGATGAACAAATCAAACAATGAAGGCCATATGGCCTGGTGGAGAGAGATAAAGAAGTCACCTCATTTGCAGGCAGAATAGATTCTGGGTCACCCCCAGCTCTTGACAGATGCCCACCATCAGCACACCTCAATTTTCCCATGTTGAGAATAGAGACATTTTCCTTTCACCCACACAAACAGGCTAACTTATAGTTCCATATCCAAGTGAAGGGGGTAATGCCTTGTAGAAAACACAACAACAAGACTCTGGACATAAAACACCATGGCAGTGTTTTTAGTGGCATCTGGCCACAGTAGGCACCCAATGAGTATTTGTTTTAAGTACATGAGTAAATGTGAGGCATTGTGGTGAACAACAATGGTATGAGACTTTTAAACCCTTCTCTGCCATTGTCTTAGCTAGGGTTTCTGGTGCTGTGATAAAGCACCATCATCAAAAGCAACTTGGGAATGAAAGGGTTTGTTTGGATTTTCAGCTTGTCAAAGTCCGTCATCCAGGGAAGTCAGGGCGGGAACGGTATGTCAGTCAGGGGCCATGGAGGATGCTGCTTACTAGCTTATTCTTCACCGATTGCTCAGCCTGCTTTCTTATAGTATCTGGGACCACCAGCCCAGGGATGTCACTGCCCATAGCGAGTTGGGCCCTCCCACGGCAATTATGAATCAGGAAAATCTACCATAGGCTTGCCCACAGGCCATTTGAGTGGGGGCATTTTCTCAGTTGAAGTTTTCTCTCCCCAAATGACTCTAGCTTGTGTCAAGTTGACATAAAACTAGCTGGTGCCACCCATTTTATTTGTTCCATGACCTGAGACAATTTATGTGTGATGCTTTGTGCCTCAGTTTCCTTTACATATTCAAGTTGGCCTAGGAACACTCATCTTGCCCATGTCACAAGATGATAGCGACTTTATAAAGAACCTAAGTATGCTTTGGAACGTGCTGTTCAGTTCTAGTGCAGGAAGGCATTGCTAGTTGGCTTTATCACAGATCAGTGTCCTGGAATCTCTTCTTGACTAACCTCAGGGCTAATTTAGTCAAAGTCCTACGTGGGTGGTTTGAAACAGTAAAGTACAAAAACAAAACCTTCCTTGTAACTAAAGAGACAAGTTGATACTACTTTTAGAAGAACTGAGAAACGTATGAAACCCCTAGCAAGTAAGTGATATTGTCCAGGTTTCCATTTGCATCCAACCCTCACTCGGTGGTCCTAGACATCTTAGCCTCTATATAGTCTGAATCCCCCAAAGGACCAACTTAGGACAAGACCTGCACATTCCATTCCTCAGTGGGAGGCTGGGTCTGTGCAGTTCAAAGTGGAGAGTGACATACTACTTCCAATATTTCACACTGCCCGATGAAGGGGTTTCTGGGAGCTTGGACCTCAGACCTGGAGGGAGGCAGCTCTAGAATTCTGGAATTGTGCATTGCTTGCATGGGAGAAGTCTGCTCTCCTGGGCTTCCACCTGGGAGGGCTCAAGGGCAGAAAGACGGAGCCAGCTGGGTGCTGGGATTCCAGCAGTGCCTCGGTGCAGGACCTAATTGTTTTATACAGTGCTGGGGACTGAGCGGAAGGCTTTGCATGCTAGACAAGCACTTCACAAAGAGCCTCAGCCCACTTCAATTGCCATGAATCGGTACAATTAGCAGTCGCTTCTCCTTTTTTCCCAAGTAAGTGAAAGGAGGAATTTAAACATCCCAACATCCCAAGTTGTAAGCACAACAACAAATGTGGACTCTGAGTATTAAAGAAGAAAGACCCAAAGCTAAACTGACTCATCCACTGGTGTTCACTTGGGGCAGGAACTACACTGCCTATGGTGTTCTGATTTTACCTTCACTGTTTTAATACTTCATGTGATTCCTGGTTATCTGACATAGATCAGAAACTCCGATTGCAACTGCTCAAGTCCATTGGTGATTGTGACGAGGAGTTATGTATCACAGAAAGAGGAAAGCAAAGTTTTCCTCAGTCAAGGCATCATGGCAGCCATGGGGTGGGGATGAGGGATCTGTTTAAAACCACCGAAGAGGGACAAAAGCCACGTCTGGGGTGCACAGACGCCGGAAACCACAGCATGCAGCGACATTCTCGCCTCCACTGGGGTTGCAGAGGGGTGAGGTCGGAACGTCTAGTTGAATCACTCGGCTGGCATGCAACTCACCATTGTAACAAGCCCAGTGCAGCGGCGTGTAGCCCTGGTTGTCCTTGAAACAGCACTCTTCTTCAGAAAGGGCGATCTGGAGCAGCTCGCTCAGCCACGTGGCGTGGCCCCGAGCAGCCGCATAGTGCAGGGGCGTTCTCCCTCTGGAGTCTCTACAGAGGATCGACGCTTCTTGTTCCAGCAGCATTTGCACACACTCCTCATGTCCCGTCATGATCTGGCCCCGTCGCAATAAAAACACAAAACACACCTCAGTTGGCTGGGGATGACACCCTGCCTGGCCTAAGAGAGGCAGATGGCTTTGCTGAGGAGGTAGGAGGCAGAACAACCCTAGCAAAATCCCTACCAGAAAAGCCCCTGAGAAACATGAACGATCTCTCCAAACAAAACAGG